TGAGTAGAGCTATCAGTTATTCATCTTAGGAAATAGCAGTGCGAATTCTCATTAGTTTATTTATTAGGTAGTACTGTATGCTTATAGTAAGTACTTTGGTAATTATTGACTGTATTATTTTATAGTAAGTAAACGTGTTTTGTTGTTTCTGGCTAATGAATTAGTGGTTTAGTTTTGTTAAACTTAAAAATTGTTCGATGCCGTCGGATCCATTAGAAATTTAATAGAAATACTTTAGACTTAGTTTTCGCTAGTGCTTTTTACATTGAGTATTGTTTTAGGAATAGCACGTTGTACAGATTGTCTACAAGCAGTCGAGATGATTGCGGGAATCTTCTTGTTGACAAAATGGTAAAATTTTTAGTACAGATTGCGTATTCGTATTGACTTAACAAAATGTAACGTTTTCAGGATCCGGATGCCCAGATGCGTCTAGGAAAATTGTTGGACGACGTTGACGAGGTACGAATTACTTATCAGAAGTGTTATCAATTTTATCAGTCAATGGACGGCAAATAAGTTATCGATTAAGACCATGATTTTATGTTTAGGCTGATCAACGGAAGTATTTCGAATGTTTATATAATCTACTCAGGGCTGGCCGTTTTTCAGAGGTATGGACATGTGTTGCGCGTTTGTGCCGAAATTACTGTATGTTTTATGCTTGACCAAAAATTAACTCCAGAGCTTCTTGGAGATTAGACGACGTTTAGGTAAAATATTTTCGGAGTAAAATAAAACGGATTCTGTTGTCCGTTGCCCCTTAAGTGACTGTGACGATTTTGTACCCCGCAGCGGTCGGCTCACAGTGAATGGTATTTGAGAAAAAAATGCTGTTTTAGGCTTTGAGGCAAATCTCATAAGGAGAATGATACCATGGCTGTAGGTCTAGAAGAAGGAATTAATCTTTACCGTTCGTAATAATGTTTTAGGAATCTTTAAAACGTGAAATATGCTTATTGCTTAACGTTTTCTTTATTCTCTGTGAACCTACGGCTTTATCTGGGATTGAACCAAGGAGAAGATCAAGAATGTACCTTACCGGTAGTTGTGCAAGAGAAATATGCTATGTTTATGCCTTTAACGTTACCCAAAATGGCAATTCATGTCTTCATCTTGGATTGAAGATAATATATTATTGTTGTAAAACATGATTTGTCGAAAGAATGATATGGTTTGTATGAAGAGGAAAAGGAGAAAAATCGGTGTTGCCTAGCGAATACTGAAGAAAGAAAAACTAGTGAAGTACGTGAAAGACTAAAGCTACAGGATACTGATGATCAAAAAATTATTACCAATCGAAAGCAGTTACGCTTCAAGCGTTAAGGGAGATTTAGAAAATGATGCTTCGAAACCGGATCAGTCATTGCATCTCACCTGATCAAGTGAAAGAAGCCTTTGGTCCAATGAAAAATAGAAGGGGCCTCCATCCAAACAAGATCTCCAAAGTAATATTAAAACACTGGTTTGATCCGTTTACTGTTTAATCAAATCATGAAATGCAGAAAGTTGCTGATGGCATAAAGGAAGAAAGTTATATTCAAATATGGACTGACATGCGAAAACTATCTGATAATTAAATTGCTCAATCATGCCATTTAATTGTATTCAAAGATAGTGAATAGTGGGCAGAGGAAAGAGACCGACATAATCAAGAAATCAGTTCGCTGTATGTCAGGTAGGTAAACGTCAAATGCGATCTTTGCACTAAAATCCAAAGTATAAGTGTATCTCCATTGATGGACCTGCGATGCTTGTTGATAAATTGTCTGAGTCAAAACCGATGGGCCACGGATTTGAGCCCTGGTCAAGCAATCGCCTTTCTTCTGAGGGTAATAAATGAATACTACTCTGTGAAAAGGGAAAAGGGGAGTACATACTATGCTTAGCACATTGCTGCTATCGGCTCTGCCTTAAAAATAGGGCACTGAAATGGAGATCCGCAACCCATCGTTTCCTTATTCAAAAGACGGGTACTAGAAATATCCAAATTGCGGATGTACAAGAACGACGACATTCCAGTGTTACAAACTTTCTTTGGGCTTCTTTGTGTCATATCCATTCTGGTTCATACAATGCCTATTAACTCCTGATGAATGCTTTCTTCTTCAGGTAGCATAAGCGGTAGTAAACCACTCATACGAATAACTGAAAATTTGTTCTTTAAACGGCTAAGACGAAGTACAACAATGAGATCTGTGTTCGAAAATAATCTGGATGCAGTTCCAGACGGTCTGAGAATTCAGTGTGTTAACTACTTTTAGACTTATTTAACTGATTAAAAACTAAATTTATTTTAAGTTTAAGTTTCATTTGTTGTTTCAGACTCGAACCATAAAATTTAAAAAATGATAGGTACATTAATGCACACAGAAAATTTATGGTCTCCTTGCTTCTATTCGGCTGAAGAAACCATTTAAGCAGATCATCACTCCTTGGTATTTTTTTGCCTGCAGTGTTTCGAATACATGACATGACCGCATCTCTTAATTCGATTGAAAAATGGCGTTTAGAGCATCAACAATTTTTCCCACTTCCTGTAATCAGTCATAAAGACAATATAAGGTAAAATGTCAATTACAGGTGCACTACCAATTAATGGTTGAAGCACTAGATTTAGGCACAGATTTAGACACTTTTATTACTAACGCGTTTCGCTAGGCATTCCGCAGCATCGCCATGATTGATCTGATTATTATTATTATTATTTTTTTACTAACAACTTATTAACTCACTAATAAGTGAGTGGCTGATTGAAACCAGGTTTTTACCAATTTTTTTGAGTCTGAAGGCATTTTGTGGAACTACTCACAAAAGTTTATGAAGAACGAGATAGCAAAATGGTTCGGTCATGGAAGTTTCACGAAAACAACGTGGCCTACCTGTGGAACGCAGTCGTCGGTATAGTACTGAAACAGGGCTTTCAGCTGCTCGAAAGATTGATCAGTAGAGACTACCAAAAGATATTTAATTCTGTTCGGGCTGCACAGCAGAGAAAATTGCAAGATCTAATTACACGAACTCAGAAGTTATTTAGTCATCGCTCGTGACCTAATGGAAATTTTTGGGACAGCCTGGTGATTAGTTTGAGCCGCGTTTTCAAAGAGATTGGAATGGACATATTAATTTTGGGTCTCTGCTTCAGCATATCTGATCATATCATTCTATTTCTGATGCAGTGCTTGGCCTTAAGAGTGGTTTCCTCTATACATATGAAAGACTTAAAATCATTAGGGAAGAAATCATCTCTAATTTTGGCTTTCTGATTCGCAGTAGCATCACGAAGTCGCATCCAAATCTGGCTATCTGTCATACCATGGTGATAAGGGAGTTGAAATCAAGGTTTAAGGATAACAATCTGACATTCTTTTCTGCGGGTAGCGAAGACAGTGGTGATACTTAAAGAGAATATGAAGCAAAAATAGTAGAACAGCTATGTAACTGACGTATATTTTGACTGCGTGGAGATGCCATTGCTGATAAAACCATTCTCAGAAGCTGTTGAAAGCGTTTAACAAGCTTGCCGGAAAAAGGTTATCATCAAGGAATGCATGCAGGGGATACTGCGTGTTATTAATTTCTGCAAAATTTCCAAGTCGTATTGACTGGAGAGGTTTCATAAAGCGGGAGTTACACTTCACCTGAGCATCCCTGCCACAGAGATGGGATTGATTTCAGAACAACTCGATTTGTTAACAAATTTTGCCGCTAGCAGGATGGCTTCCTGAGTGACGGACAGTCATGAGTTTTTACATCCGTTGAAAGAACATCAAAGGCAAGAATGGTTTATGGCATCCCTAATTGTCACTGTTTTTTGCAATAACGTAGATACCAACACGCTGGTTGATGTCCTCCCAGACATTTTGAAGAGCGTAGTAAATGAGTGGAAAACATAAGCTGTTTTGAGACAGCAGATTTGGTTATTTGATGCCAACCTTTCTCTATGATTATAAACGCAAATTTCAAATTTACGAACAAGATTTATCACCAAAAATATGAAATTCTAGTGGCCTACCCAGTAAGTGTCATTTTAGCTGATCTCTGACTAGATCTCCTAAAGATAAGGGCCCTTAAAGAATTCCCAGCAAGAGTTTGCCCGTTTTCTACGCCAGATTTGTGGATAACTTCTTCGTTTTGTTGAGAAGAAAGAATGCCGTGGTACACAGTAATATATGATTAGAGAGGATGTCAGCTGTTGAATACGGGATTTAATATCGAGGCAGAGGTAAAGAAGACACCGTCAGATGAATTTGAAGCTTTCATTTATCAGCAGCCGATTTACTCGAACAGACAATTACATCTTAGGTCTTGTGCTTCTCCTGTTCTTTTCAGAAATAGCGTGCGGAACATGCGTTTACCTGCGCATGAAACGTGCAATGCTGCTTCCTCTCTACATGTTGAATTTCGACAACTTTTCTGTGTTTTCCTGAAGAGTGGATATTGAGGGAGGATACTTCACAGTGAACTTTATCACCCCAGCTGCAATTTGATGATGTCGTATGAGAATATACCTATGGCAGTTTAATCATACATACTCCAGGCATCTGTGGAAATCAGAAGATACCTCAGCAATATAGGCTTCAGGATCTACTACAAAATCGGCATGAACTTAGAGATGCTTCTATTCAAGAAGTATATGCGCGGCAACTCAGAGGAAGCGCACTGGATGGGGTTTACAACGTCGAGTGTGGTGACTGCGGTAAGAAATGTTTTGGAAGAGCATACGTGAAATTCAGCACCTGGATTAAAGAACAACTCTCTGCGGTCCGCCTGAGACAGGCTGATGACTCAGATATTGCATTCCGTGCCTTTTCTAAAGGACACTCCTTCTGTCAGACGAACTTGTGCCTAATTGACAACGACCGGTCAAAGCTTAGTTTGTTGATAAAGGATCTCCTAGATGATTGTCAATGAAAAGTCGTATTTCTAGTGCATACTCAGCCTCTGTGGTGATAAATACAAGCTGGAGTTTCATAATAAAACTTATGAACTGGGTAAGAGAAAAGTTTGGAACCATGCAGTAAGTGATGTCAAACGCTAAAGTTCAAAACTATTAATCTGATGGTAAAAATTTAGTGTCAATTAGCCACTCACTTCATATCGAGCCACTTTCCTTACATACGGCGAATATCAGCCTAAAAATCAGTTGTATCCTGACAATGCTGTGGATTGTGTAGCAGAAAGACTTGATGTTAAAAGTGTAATAATCTGTATGGTTTGGTGCCTAAGCCATGAATCGGCAGCGTATCTGTAATTTCATTAACGGACCTGGAATCAGAAATGTTATAACTTATTTGGGATTAAATAAAATAAATAAACCCCTTTGTTTTGGGGCTAGCTACCACAGATGGCAGTTTTCAATGCCGCTGATATCGGATTCTTTATATGTATATTATTTAATTTATTTTATGTTCAATAATGGACCTCTAGAAAAACTGACTAGTATAGATCGACCTCACGTCTTATACTTTACTTTAAGGAATATGTCTGTTATTTATGTTTTAATTTTTAGCGCATTATTTAGGCTATCGCTCTATGCAGTTATTGCGGAGAGA